ATGAGGACATACCCTCATGGAAATCAGAACTGGCATCCAATTCCTGAACAAAACCCAAAACCCACAGCTCATAAGAGAGAAAATAGACAAGTGGGACCTTATTAAACTGACAAACTTCTGCAAAGTCAAAGAAACCATCAAGAGAGCAGTGAGACAGCCTACAGACTGGGAAAAAATATTTGCCAACACCAGTTCTGACAAAGGCTTAACATCCCGGATCTACAAGGAACTCAAATGTGCTGAAAAGAAAAAAACAAACAACCCCATTATAAAATGGGCAAAAGATATGAACAGACACTTCACAAAGGAAGACATCTGAGCAGCCAACAAACACATGAAGAAATGTTCAACCTCACTAATCATCAGGAAGATGCAAATTAAAACCACACTGAGATACCACCTAACTGCAGTCAGAATGGCAATTATCAACAACTCAAAAAATAACAGCTGCTGGAGAGGGTGTGGTGAAAAGGGAACACTTCTACACTGTTGGTGGGAGTATAAACTAGTGCAACCTCTGTGGAAAGCAGTGTGGTGATTCCTAAAAGCTCTAAATACCAACCTCCCATATGACCCTGCAATCCCCCTACTGGGAATATATCCTGAAGAACACAAATCACTCTATAAAAAAGATACCTGCACACACATGTTTATCGCAGCGTTGTTCACAATAGCAAGAACCTGGAAACAGCCATGCTGCCCGTCAAAAGAAGACTGGATTAAAAAAATGTGGTACATATACACGATGGAATACTACGCAGCCATAAAAAAGAACAAAATCATGAATTTCTCAGCAACCTAGATGGAACTAGAGTCTATAATACTGAGTGACCTCGCACAGAAACAAAGATCCGAGTATCATATGTTCTCACTCACATCATGGACCTTAAACATCCATGGCAATACTATACGAAAATGACTGACTGTACTGGGAAACTATGGTGGGGGGAGGGAGATGGGATTAACACAAGCAAATATCTGTCTGGGAACGGGGAAACACCCCATATCAACAGGGTGCCTGAATGAAACGCAATTGTATGCCTAACCCTTAACTGTACCCCACAACTTCATAATAAAAAATAAATTAAAAAATAAAAAAAACCCCGCCAAATACAAGGAATAATATTAGTACCTATTTTATGGGGTTTTGTAAAGAAAATGGGTATAAACTGCATAGTATAGTAAGAATTTTAGTGTATTACTAACATTATGACTGTTATTGTTACTAGTCGTAAAATATTTTTTGATGAATTAAACACTAATTCTAATGTAATTTTACCTAACAAGCATGAATTTTTATTGGTAGATCTTAGAATTGTTATTTTCTTTGGAAATATCCTATTTTTTTTCCTGAACGCTTTATATCCCTGCAAAATTCTTGACTTGGGTTTTTACCATTGAAGCTGCTCTATGAAAGTATTCTACAGTAGATTCCAACCCTACTCCCAGGGGAAAAATAAATCAGTTAATTACAAAACCTACCTTTCTAATCATGAAGATATAAATAACTGGGTTGTATACAGTGTTCGATTTAGCAAAGAGATATGAAACAACAGATATTGTTGGAGTGACCAGGTGTCCCTGACTATTCACCACCAAGAAACAGATCACAATATAAGGCATCCAACAAATCAGAAAAGTGAATATCATGAAAAAGCACATTTTGGCCACTTTCTTTTCATATTTTAAAATCTTGATCACTTGAATTGTCTGAAGATCTTCAACACAACGAAGCTGCAGAAAGAAGAAAGAAAGGAAAGAGTTAAAAAATGAAAGTGTCCTCGTCTTTTGTAGTTTTTATAACAGATATATAGATATCATCTTTGGCCCCAAAGATGGAGAACTGAACTGAACAGACTTCTGACCCAAGATCTGTAGTTGAGTTAACTCTCGCTGGACTTCAGTGTCCTCATTTATAACATATTGTGTTTGAAATGCATGGCCTTAGACCCTTTAATGGCTTTTATGGCTTTTCTTCTTAATAAGAATAAAATGAATTATTTTGCCTAGATTTTCAAGTTGCTAAAAGACAGCCTGAAATGTCATGATAAAATGGAAACAATTTCCTTGTAATCCTGGAAACTCTTTTATCTAGAGCTTTAATTCTCAAGTTCTCAAACCAGGCAGCAAACCAATGCCATATTAAGAGTTCTGCATGGTTAAGCTTGTAGCTGTCTTAAGGGAAACTTAATCCCCAAATAAATTCTTACTGGAAACCACTGTATCTTTCAATTCACTGCTAATGTCTGTAAAGGAGGATTTGAGGAGGCGTTTATTTGGGATTAGTTTCAACAGGGGCTCATTTGCAGAGGACAGCACTTGGTAAAATTCAGAAAGTCCTTCCTCTAAAATCAACACAGCTACTCCTAGTTTGCCCGTACTTAAGTTACTGAGGAGAAATGATGTAAAAAAAGTTCTTTGAGCTTTTTAGATATGTTTCTTTTAGCTGTTTCTCATACTATTTTTTATTATACATATGCTATTAAGGTGAAAAAATATTTTGCACACCAAAAATATGTTATTAAACAAAAATGATTATTTATGAACATTGTGAGAAATTATACTAATTTTACTATAAAACACAAATACTTTATATATTGAGTTTTTTTTAAGTATCTGGTATACTGTTAATATTTAGTATTGATCATTTTAAACTGGGAAATGTACTGCATTTCCTTGAACTCTACGTGTATCTTTTAGTTCTAGCATTATCATAAAAATTAAGAAAAAAATTTCAAAGAAATAATGTAGAGCATATGCTTATAGTATTTCAAAATACAATTTTTAAATGAAATTCCTAGATTATTGATATGATCCAAAGTTATATTTAAGAATTTATATTCTCATCAAAATCATGTATTCGAACTGTTTTTTAACTTTTTTTATTTTAAAGATGTGGGGTACAATTCAGGATTAGGTATACAAGTGGTCATTGTACAGGTAAAGTTTGGGTCTCCCCTTGGTCCCCACTTTGCCTGTTTATTCAAATTGTTAAAGAATAGATGGAAACATGGAAAATTTAAGTGGTTGATTTTTTTTTTTTTAGAGTAGAGAGACTGTGTATGTTGGAGATAAGGTATTAAATTTCTGGTACTATTATGTATGTGCAATTTTATTTTAATGAAAACTATTTTATTTAATATAGTCAAATATTATTCTATTTTCAGAACATGATTCTTTGTAGGGGAAGAGGGTCTTCCTAGACTTTATAGTAAGGTTGTAAGCTTCAGGTTAAAACTCTTGATTTGGAATTAGAAGATTTAGGTTTGTATCCCTTTGTCACCACTTTTGCTCCCAGAATGATAATTAAAGAAATCATTAACTTTTTAAAGAATAAAGATGAAAGGAGGTGAAAACAAATGATTAGAATTAACAGAACCTGGGTTCCAGTTCCACACAGATGACTTTGTGTGGTTGTTCTCAACATTAAATATTTATGCTTGAACTATATTTCAAACCAACATATTTATATGCATATGTACTTTATGATACTTTAGGATATTTGGAATCATTATTTTTGACTCTTCAGGACTTCAATTAAGTGGCAACATAACACACCCCAGTCATCTGTCCCTCAAGACTTCCTATCTAGGTTCTAATAGTTTTATGTGTGCCATTTTCTGGGCAAGTCCATCTTCATCCTCTCTCACTATTTATCAAAGCAGAGCACGTATATATCCGTCTTGGAACTACATGCATGAAGGAGAAGTTAACTTAAACAAATATTGGTCTATATTTCACTTTGGCATAAGGGAAGATCTTGACTAATGGTTCAGATTATTTGGGTTTGTACATATAAAGTTCTCATGAATATTTTTGTTTGTCTCTTTTGGGCCTCTTTGTTTCATTACTCCCCACTCCACTCTGCTCATTAAATGTTTCCCAAGTAGAGCTCTTCCTCATGTCTCATTCTTTTACTCAAACATTTGAGGATATTTTTCAAAATTGCTGTGGATGAAGCAAGAGCACACGCACAAATTTGTCCTAAAGAATGAACCTCTTAAAACAAATTCTCCAGAATTTGAAGTGTTCTCTGACTGTATATGACTGATTTCAGACTGTAGATTTTCAAAGCACTCACTGTGAACCTTTATTCTCAAGTGAGTAGTTATGTCTCCATCATTATGATGAGAAATCCCTCTCTGAATAAGGATATAAAGGCAACTTTCTTATACCAAGTTCTCTGTTGAAGTAATAGCAGTCTAAAGTCAAATCTCTTCACATCTTTACCCCTTCCCCTGTCTTCCCTTTTCCATACCCTCTGCTTGTAACTCATGCCAAGAATTGTCACCAGTCACCTATTACATACAGGTACTGTTTCCGCTATAGGTGAAAAAAATTAGTAAGACTAAATCTCTTCCCTCGAGGAATTCTCTCTTTAGTGAGGGCAACAGGCATTCAGGTGGTACGTGCCATAAGGGAGGTGACCAGGGAGGTAGTGAGAGTACAGAGGATGGGAAACCAGTTCTGAGGGTGGGTTAGAGAAAGAAAATCCTGCTGCCAGCCTTCTAAGGTGAGGTTAAATGAACCAAGTAAACAGGAGAGAAAGAATATTCCAGAGGAAAAAAAAAGTGTGTTAAGACAAAGAGGCAAAAGAACAGGTTCAGGAAACAAGAAATATTACAGTTGGCTAGAGACTGAGATGGCAACCCGAGAAGAGTGTCAAGAAATGAGGCTGGACAAGAAGCCAGAAGATGCCGCATAAGAACTGCTAGCCACACTCAGGGACTTTATTTTTTATCACGAAGACAATGGAACCCGTGAAGGTAATGTTTGAGAACAATTGCACCAGCGGCAGAGAGCGGAGAATGGATTAGAAGAAAGCAAGAATAAAGAAAGAACCAAGGCCCTTTTGAACTGAGTCTGTGGTGGGGGAGAGGGACAAAATGGATATACTGAAGAAATGTAAGTGGAATAGATAAGAATTGATCACTAGTAGGATGTTGAAGGAGAGGTGGATGAAGAAGAGTCAAATATCACTCCCTAATTTCTGGCTTAGGTAGAAAGGAACAATGAGCATTCAATGAAAAGGGGAATGTAGGAGGAGAGAATTTGAGGGGAAATATAGCAAATTGAGCTTTACATATGTTGACTATGATGAGTCTGCGGACCATCCAAGTGGAGGTGTTCAATAGGGAGTTAACTATGAGGCTCTGATAGAGGTCAGAAGAAAGACCTGGACTGGAAATAGAAATCTAAAAGTCATCAAACTTGTGTTAGAAGGAGAAATCCTGGGATGAGGGCTATCCACAGGATGATGGGGAGGAAGAGAGGTCCTTGAAGGAGAAATGAGAAGATGGGACCAGAGAGTCAACCATAATGACAGCCGAGAATGGGGTCCCAGAGTCAATGAGAGGGGAATATCACAAGAACGTGGAAACTGGTGACAGTCTCAAATGCTGCAGATGCCAGATAGGAATAGAAACGTGTCCATTGAATCTAATATTTGGGAGCTCATTAGTGACCTTAAATGAGGGCTGTCTTAGTGGGAATGTGGTAGAGGAAGGAGGTACCAATTTGCAATGAACTAAGAAATTAATGCTAGGCTGGGTTTGGTGGCTCAGCCTGTAATACCAGCGCTTTGGGAGGCCGAGGTGAGTGGATTGCCTGAGCCCACGGGTTCGAGACCCGCCCTGGGGAACTTGGCGAAACTTCATCTCTACAATAAAGCAAAAATTAGCTGGGCATGGTAGCACGTGCCGTAGTTCCAGCTACTTGGAAGCCTGAGGCGGAAGGATCGCCGGAGCCCAGCAGGTCGAGGCTACAGTGGTCGGGAGCGGCCACTGCACTCCAGTCTGGGTGACAGAGTGAGACTCCAATTAAAAAAAAAAAAGAAATTAATGCTAGATAATTAAATTACAAACTCCTTGAATTGCAGCAGACACTTATTTCTCACAGTTCTGGAGACTGGGAAGTCCAAGATCAAAGTGCTGGAAAACTAGATTTCATTCTGAGTCCTCTTCTCTTGGCCACTATCTAACTGCATGCTCCTATGACCTCTTCTTTATGCACATATAGGGCGAAGGGGGGAAGGAGAGAGGGAGGGCGAGCGAGCTGTCTTGTGTCTCTTCTTGCAAGGACACTGATCCCATCAGACCAGAACCCCACTCTCATTAGCTATTCTATTCCTAATTACCTCCCAGAGGCACCATCATATTGGTAGTTAGGGCTTCCACATACAAATCCAGGAGGGACACAGTCTATAACAACAAGAAATTGGCATATGTTAGATGCTCAATAAATATGGTTAAATGTATGTTTACTGAATGACAATGTGAAACCAAAAGCCCCCCAATGGTTATTTAGTTAGTAGTGATAAGGAGAGAAAGTGACAGCAAGAAGGAGCTGAGTAGATTTTGCTTTTTAAAAAATTAGCATGGTAATAAACTAAAGGGAAAGAGCTGCAGTAAGAGAGAGAGAGTGAAGGTACAAGTGAAAGAAAAAAATTATTAAACTTGAGAGAGGTCCCTGGGGCAGAGAATGGGCTGGGGGCCAATAAGAATATAGAATCACCTTTGGGAGGCTGAGGTGAGTGGATTGCCTGAGCCCACGGGTTCGAGACCCGCTTGGGCAGGCGAGACCTCATCTCTACAATAAAATCAAAAAATTAGCCGGGCGTGGTAGTGCGCTCCTGTAATTCCAGCTACTCGGAAGGCTGAGGCGGAAGGATCACCGGAGCCCAGCAGGTCAAGGCTGTGGTGGCCAAGAGTGGCCACTGCATTCCAGTCTGGGCGACAGAGTGAGACTCCAACTCAAAAAAAAAAAAAAGAATACAGAATGAGCTTGGTCCTGGAAGACCTCTCCTGACACCCTGTGACTAAAGAAAGAGGTCTAAGAATTAGTGGTTTGTTTAAAAGGAAACAGGGAGCTGAGGAAGTACTAGAAAATGACTTTATTTTGCCCAAGACATAAGAAGCGTGATTATTTGATAAGAATGAGAGAGGATAGTACAGCAAGAGATTCAAATGAGAAATGAGGATTTGTAATAGGGCTTGGAGGGAGCGGACCAACTAGAGATACAAAGGTGGCTGGGTAGGACTGAGGGGACACCTGAATATAAACACATGAATTTTTCCTCCAGCTCCTCTTTGCAATTTGACTACAAGCAAACAGATAGTTGAACTGATCCAGGTTTGTTTGTTTGTTTTAACAAAATGGGTGTATATAAAGAAAGTAGGCACATAGGAGTTGAGGGCGATGAGTCATAATTTAAAATGATGCATGTGGCTAAGTCCGATTTAAAACAAAAGGAGAAAGTTAAAGAGGTTCTGACAGTCAGCAAGAGACTGAGAGTGATGATGGAAGCAGAGAATAGACAGGGTTGGAAGAAGCAGTGAGTAAAAAAACACCCATGGCCGCAGTTAGAGCCTGGAATGTGGAGTGTGCCCCACACTCAAGTAGGTTCAAACTAACAAGTTCTTATTGATGTCCAACATGGAATCGGTTTGTGATCAGTTCTTGTCCTTTATAGCTCCGGTGCGATTTTCAGATAAAACATCTGTGCCATTCTCTGTGCGTAAATTCATGTGACCTTTAAATGAATGAAGTTATGAAAAATGTGGAATTCCCTGTTTTTAAGAGTTCCTAAATTTCAAGTGTTGTACAAGGCAGGGATTTTTTGTTGTTGTTAGTTTTCTCTCTCCAGAAGGTTTTTCCTTCCTCTTTGGTTTAGAGAGATGTAGAAAGAGTAAATGCTGTTTCTCATTGATCTTTTCAGAGAGTGACTCATAATGCAAAATTTGATGAAATAGGAAGTTCCCTAGAACTGGGCTAGCTCTGGGTAACTACGGACTATGTAGGAGGAGTCTGATTCCTTTCCATAGAAAATGTTCTACCCTGGCTGTGGTTTAAGGGAGGGACGTTTATAGTCTTCAACTCACCATTCGAATGGAATACAGAATATGGCCATAGCAATGGGCTATGACACCCATGGGCACCACCAGGCAGCCAAGAAATAAGAAAAGCACAAAGGAGGTATCGTTGGCATCCTTGGATTTCCAGTCCACGGTGCAGCCTAGTCCATGTACGTCCAGGATGTACCTGTTCCAGCCCAGGAGAGGTGCTCCTGCCCACGCCAGTGAGTAGAGCCAGATGTAGGTAATGGCCCTCCAGGCCCAGGAAAAATTGATCACTCTGGCATGGACCACGCGAATGTACCGTTCATAAGCCAGCACAGTTAGGGTGGCAATGGAAACAATCCCTGAAAGAAGAGAAAGTGGAAAAGTATACCATGGTGCAGGGAAAAACCAGACATAAAAGAGGGGATATATTCTTCACTAGAAATGGCTTTTAGAGTATCTGGGGCACAGAGAGGTCTCCAAAAGTTAAAAGATCGAAAAGTAAGAATGCCCTATAGTCTACAGGATATTCTACCAATGATATGTTTACCCATAAAAAATAGAATAGAAAATTGCATGCAGATTGTAGCAGGTCAAAAATAAATGCCCTAGCATCAGCCCGCCCCAATAATACAGCTATTGTATTACATTTTCTCCTAAAGAGAGACCCTGGAGTGAGTCAGGGAGAGAGTCACTAGAGTAAGTGCATCTTTCAGTTTTGACTCTGTCAGCTGTATCTGACTCAGCTATTAGAGATAAAGTCAAAGGGGGTTCCAAAATCTCAAACTGAACAGTCCTAGTAGAAAGATACAAAGGGCTGCCTTAGCTTGCCTACCAGCATGTGTCAACAAACTGGTCATAGGCAAGAATTGCTGACAAGGGTTGGGGGAGTCTTCTGTGCTTCCAGGGTCTTCATATATACCTCTATGTCGCAACAAATCCATTTTCACAGTATTATTTGTATATTTCTCTGTTACTCTCCAGAGAGTGATTTGGTCACTCAACAAGTACCTAGTGAGCACGTACTATGCACCAGGCACTGTGCTGACACTGAATACCCAATGATGACTAAGAGGCAGAACTCTAGATGACTGAAGGGAATGTAGATGTGTTAACAACAATAATACCATGCAATGTGTAAATGCTACAATTGTAGCACTATGTACTGGAGTCACAGAAAAAGGGAGCATTTTTGTAGAAGGCCAGAGAAGCACATTCCAGGAAGAATGAAGGATTAGATACCAGAGCATGGAAACATAAAAGAACAAGAAATGGTCTCTAAATGATGAGAGGATTCAAAGATGCCAGGGCTCAGAGATGGAGAGAGAAACTTAGAGACAGTCGATGAGGCCACACTGACACAGGATTTTAACTCCTAGCTGAGGTGTTTTAGACTCTTTTTTGCTTTTATTTTGTTTTTAACCTTTTCCTGTAGGAAATAGTAGTTTATAAATCTGCTACTCTCCTGTCTTTTTAAGCTTGAAAAGTGACATAGTTAAATTTTCTCCTTCTTCTCCTGAAAGGACACTTACTCTAGCAGTAGTATAGAACTTAAAACACTGCCTGGGGCTAAGGAAACCAGCTTGAAGGCTACTGCAATAATTTAGGCAGGCTATGAGGGGGCCATAATTAGAGTTATGTTAAAGGCATGAACAGAGAAGTCTGGATTCCAGAGACATTTAGCAACTAGTATCAACAGAATCCATCTGCTTGCTGAATGTGAGGAGTGAGGGAAGAGAGGAGTGACTTGGAGACTTCTTAACCTGCCTAACGAGTATGGAGTGATTACATTAGCCAAAATAAAAACGACACGGGGCATGAGCAAACACAGGAAAGAAAATGAAATTGTGAGCTCCTAGAACGCATCAGCATAAATATCTGTTGAATGAGTGATGGACAGAGGTTGGAGAAAAGTTGGCTCAGATAGAGAATGAAAATAAGACTGGTGTCCTGAGAAGCAGGGTGAGGGGGTGTGTGGGGGAAGGAAGTTGTTAAGAGGCCTCCAGGCAAGTCCCAGCTCCTCACAAAGCAGCTCTGTAACTTTCAGCAAATCGTACGGACTCTCCAGAATTTGATTTTGTTTTCCATAACATTGAAAATCCCTTCACATTATAAAATTTTGTGATTCTGCAATTATAAAAGGGTGAGCAGAAGTGGCTCTAGACTCAGAGAGCAACGGATAGTACATAGTTAATATTCATTTATACCAAGACAGGTTTGGTTTTTGTGTGGGTGAGGTGGGAGGCAGTATTATTTCTAGTGCCTTATATATATGGCATCCAATAAGTACTTAAGTGACTGAAAGAAAATTGCATTTTGGAATCTAGTGAAAGAAAATACTTCAGAAAATAATGACACGGTAGCAAATCATGGGCTTAAATTTCAATTGCAGTAAGTAATTACGATAACAAGGAAAGTATCACGTTAGATGTGCTGTATTCAGAAACCTCTTTTTACCTTAAAAGTGATAATATCCTTTCTTTAACTGGTTATATTCCTAGAAAAAAAAAAAATCAAGAAACCTAAAGATAACGAATGCTTTTGGTTTTATTTCATTTACAAATTTTCTTTTTCAATATAACGGCGTTTAATTTTATAATTGCCTTTAAGTGTTAAGACATGGTTTGGCCTTCCATTTTTAGTTGATTTCCATTGAATACGCTTTAGTCCTTTACGGGCAAGAAAACGGTGCAAATAATTGCAGTCTTGTAAATTACTAAATCTAAACGTGCCTCAGAGATGAATAAATGAGTTCTACGGGCAAAGCCATAAGAGGTATAATGAGCTGGTATGATCATACCATTATGCTCATGGTCATCCATCATTCAGTCATTAGCTATTTGTTGCTTGTGATGTGTCCATCAATTTGCTAGAAAATAGACATAAAGAGGTGAGTGACACCAGGAGCCTCATGGAACTTAAAGTCCAGTGGGTAAGAGAGAGAGTTCAAAATTAAACAAGTAAAGCAGTGAAGTGCTATGAAGGAAAGAGAGTGCAGAGACAGAGAAGAGCAGGAGGCGTGGCGAGAAGGACACGGAGAGGGACACAGCGTGATTGACAGGGTGTCAGGAAAAGACTCACCGCGTTCAGAGCTGAGGTCTGAGGACTTCCAGCCTTGTGGTAAGTCAGGGTGTAGGAGGTTACTGACATTTTCCTTCTGATCGTTTAGGCCCCAGAAATGTGTTTAATCTATTAATATAGTCTTTGGCCATACGGGTGTCTTAGCAATCACAATGAGTTTCAAGTGCCTGATTTCAGTCACCAATATTCAGTATCATGACAGGCCAGTGCAAACCAGAGGGGAGCAAACCTGGTATTCCCTTGGCCCTTACTGACAGCATGGGTATATAAATGAACGGCAGCTTTAGTCACACTGACTTAGTCTTCAAGGTTGACTCAAATGGTGACCTAAACTACATCTTCCTTGCAAAATATGTAGCGGCCTTTCCCCCATCGATGCTTTATTTACCAGAGAATTTTGGTCTTGAACCTTCTATTTGGTTCCCAGAACACACCCCACGAGCATGAGAATTGATGGGCTGTCTTACAACCACATTACACTTTTAACCAATGTTGAGCCTAATTCTCTCTTCCATGTGGTGCAGCCGGTTCCTTTAAATCATTATGAAAAGCAAAAGGGGAAGACAAGTGTTGCAAACTGAGCAATTGATTGTACATCAGGCCCCATGATAATTACTCGATGCCTCCTCTGGGAAAAAAAGAGGTCTATTATGACTCAGATGGTTTAGAAACCAGTACAAAATCTATAATTTTGCCTCTACACTACCTGCTGCCACTAGAGGGCAACTTCCACTTCCCCACAAATTCTGCTGGGGCGAAGTCTCCACGTTCCCCGCAAAGCAGCCTAATCGGTCAGATATGTGTGAATTACTTATCACGGTGCTGAGTAGGTCTTTTGGAAAAACCAGAGACACATGGTCCCTACCCGCGAGGAGGCTACAGTACTGCATTCTTATAAAGCCAAGACTAACTCATACACAATATTAGAAGACAGTGTTAAGATGATACGTAATCACGTGTCAAGATTATGGTGCAACAAGAAACCACAAAAAGTAAAATCCCAGTGGGCTGTGTTGTGGGGAAAAGCTTCAATAAGAGATAAAACTTAACCTGGGCCATAAAAGATGAATAGGTGTTAAGGAACAGAAAAAATTGGAACAGGCATTTTTGGCTGGAAGAGCAACTTCTACAAAGACAAAGCAAGGCTCCTAGAATTCTTGCAAGAGTGTCTTGGTTTCTGGGCACAGAGCCCCAGGATGAAGAGGTGGGAAGATCCGTCATCACTGGGGGTGGCACAAAGCTATCATGCCTTCCATGACTGTTCATGGTTCACAGCAGGGATTTTCCTTTTTTTTTTCTAGTGCTTTCCCTAATAGAAATTTGAAGAACTATATATACAATCATATTTAAAGTGTGACATCTAAATTTTTTGTAGTTTAAAGAGTTGTGTAATAATTTCAAAATAAAACTATTACTTCACTCTTGTAAATATATCCAATGTGTCCAATGACTCATAAGTATATTAGTAATTTCACATACATATACACGTGTTTTGTATGTATGTATACTGTATATAAAACAATGATCAATCATCTAAACTAACATTTCCATTCAAATTTTCTCCTCAAAATTTTATTCCAAAGTAAGATATTGGTATGGCTGAAAGATTTTAAATTATTCATCTTATTCTGCAACAAAAAAATACATAAAATTGTCTTATCAATTGAGTTCTTTAAATTTATAATAATATAAAATTTATCAAAATATCTTGTTAAATATTAAAAGTAAAAAAATTAATTAGTAATATATCTCTTAAAGAGATCAATATGGCTTTCCCTTACCACAAACTATCTATTCATGATTACTGTTACTATTACCTAGAATGATGCAGGATCAATTCTACCACTGTTTCTAAGATTGAAGAGAGATTTATTTTTAATTTTTAAAGAAATTTTTCGAGTCAAGGTCTTGTCAGGTCTGTGTTGCCTAGGCTGGAGTGCTGTGGCACAATCACAGCTCACCGCAGCCTTTACCTCCTGGGCTCTGGCAATACTTCCACCTCAGGCTCCAGGTAGCAGGGACTAATGACACATGCCACCATGCCTGGCCCTTTAAAAAAATTTTTTTGTAGAAACGTGGTCTCACTCTGTCCACCAGGTTGGTGTGCAATGGCACTATTACAGGCGTGGGCCACAGCACCCAAATGAGAGTATTTTGTTCACATATATATTCTGGTGGCAATGGAAGGAGTTTTGTTATTTTCAGTTCCTACAAATTATAAGAATATTTCTTCTATATTCAATGACTAGAACTCTTTTGAACTTATATACCAAAATCGCAT